TTAGCCATGGGCAGAGTAAAACTGAAAACAAAAATCAGTCCTTCTGCTCCCTCCCTGCCTCTTTGTGGAGTATAAATTACACAGAACACCTGCTGCTTACACAGATTTATATGCTTGGTAGCCATGTAGCCTTGTGTGTCATAAAACTTTATAAATTTGACAAATTTTTCATTTAACAAAGATTTAGACAGATAGAGAGACATTATTGATCCCAGACAGGGAAATTACAGAAGAAATAAGGCAGGAATCAAACCCTGCCCACAGCAGGCAGGGCGCCAAATCCTAGCCACTAGACCACCAGGGATTAGGAACAAGGCAGTAAATTAAATCAGAAAACCGATTGATTAAACACCTGAATTGTTTTTCTAATATGTAATGTCATCATATTGTTAGGCTGCATTCAGTGATAGCATGAGCTAATGCTAACTTCCTGTGGCTAATATTCAAATTTCCCTCCGTTCACTTTTTTTATGACTTCACGATTGTGTTGGGTGACAAAGGGCAGGTGTTCAGCGACAGGCAGGCCAAACATTGAGCGGAGAGAGGAGTAACTCGAAAGCCTAGTTCACACGACATTATTAACCCTTTGTTAATGAGTTTTTTTCGCATAACTTCGCTGTAAGTCGGAACTCACGTACGGTACTTGCCTTACTCACCTATGCTAACACAGTGGTTCCTTCATAATCTAGGACAAAATGACATCAGAATAGTCTTTCTTACGCCAAACCAAACGTACGGTGTACAACCGGCGATTGTAAACAAAGCCATCTTCCGCATATAGCTCTAACTAATTCCTGTGCAATGTAGTTTGCGAGTTTTAATTTCTTACGTCGGAATGATGGAACAAGACTTTCTTTTTCTTTTATAAATTCATGGAAGATGAAGATGCCGGGTCTGTACTTACATTTTCATGAAGTACTTATTAGTGATGGCTCAAGCCATCCCTACTTGATATCCTGGCCTAGCCTTAAGCCGTTATCACGGTTACTCACGTGTTATAGCTCGAGATAATGAGACAGGCACAACGTAAAAGACGACCCGTACAATCATAACATAATTACCTTAAATAACAAAAAATCCACGTTTTTACCCCTCTTGTTTGCCTGCAAATAAGTAAAGTCAATTAGAAACACATCACATGCATATTTTTTTGCTTTAAAGATTCATCAAGCGGCCCGGATTGAATCCCCTAGTGCATTGTTTCCCAAAGACTGGGTTGCGAGTTTTTTTTCTTTTTTGGGTCGTCTCGCATCATGTTTCCCAGGAATTTACTAATAATGTCTATTGACTTGGGTCATGAAGGTTTGTGACTTTTAAAATATGGGTCCCCAGAAAAAAAGTTTGGGGAAACACTGCTCTAGTGGGCCGGTTTTGGCCCCCGGGCCATATGTTTGACACCCCTGGTCTAGGACTTTTCATGTCAAGAGCGGGAATTATTGACCCAGCATTCACTTACTAATTACATTCAAACCATCTGCGACACTTTAGAAAGATGCATTCACGTATATTATTTTATAACATTTTATCCTCGACATTTCCATCAGTTTCACAAGGATTCCCACTGATTAAGTGAGTAATACAAGTATATTGTTGAGGAGGAGGGTATATATGTATTTGGTGTGCTTAAAGTAGGTGCAAAGACTCACTAACAAAACTGTCAGTGTTGTGTGAACTTGGCCTGGGAGCTCACTTGAGAAAACACTCTTTTCACAGTAATACCGTAATAACCGTCAGATCGGACTGAAGTCATTTTCGCCCACAGCGGCTTCACCCTCCACATTACGGCAGCAACCGACTGGCGAGAGCAGGTCAGATGTCAGGAATGTGCCCTTGTACGTGTGACACGTGGGCGGATGTTTCCTACAACGCCAGACTAGACTAAATAATAAGGTACAGTTTAATCCAGACTGTGCCTCACGAGGGAACACGTTCTGTTGATGTAAACACAGAGGTGGGGAAGAGACTTTTATGACCCTGTTCCAAAAAAACAAAACAAAACAAAAAACAACAACCCAACTGAGACATTCCCATCGTCTTTTCAGCTGCTTTACAATCAGACATTAACTTATGCATATTTGTGACTTTGTGCCTTTGTTGTCAGTAGTAGGTGCACCAACACTGGATTGTAAGACAGACGCCGGGTTTGTCTTTCTACGCATAAACTTTGATGTTGCATTTAGTGTTTGTTTGCTTTCTGGCTTTTTTTTTTTTTTTTTTCAGAATTGTTCGATGAGAAATTCTGTGGTTCCCTCAGGTTCCGTCTCTAGCTCCTCAGACTGGTTCATACCTGAGTCGTTCTGATTGTTGCCTTAGTTGTTCGTAAGTGTAAACTATGGAAAGAGTACGCTTAGCACTATGTTATCCTTGAATAGATGTCACTATTTATCTGCTCCGTTCTGCCCACGTTCAGGGAAAAAAAAATGCTCAGACTTTATCTCGCCACGACCAACCTCATCAACCACTCTGATTAGACTCGATCAGAGTGAATCACGTCATCAGCTCCACATGTCAAAAATGAGTCCAGAAAAGAAAAGCGATGGCGGTGCTCGGATGCCCGCTGCTGATTACACTGCTGATTTTAGCGCTTCTCAAATTTAGCCACTGTTGAGGGTTTTTTTTTTTTTTTAGTTCAAATCCTTTCTAAGGAATCAACTCTCCAGTACTGTACGACGATGCATTGCATGCAACTACTTTATTACATTCCTGTATTTAAAGCTTTATTTGGAACGTTTCTTTGGCTACATGTTTGGATCAACTACAAACCAAAAACTGTAGTATAAAAAACCTTTAATGAGTAACAAATGACAATATAAAAAGAATGGCGTGTACAATCAAATTAGCACAAGCGTTAATTTAACATGGTTTAGAAGAGGGCCTGTTGATCGTGTTGATCGGTCCTGGTAAGGCAGTTAGAAGTGGATCTCTGCTGCGACCTGCTGACAATAACGGCAATTACATGGTGACTGGAATTAGACGGTTATGCTTAAAATAGGTCAATTCATGATTGTAAAAAAAAAAAAAAAAAAAAAATCAAGATTTTATCCAGTTCTTATTAACCCATTGGCAGATTCCCCTTTAAAACCACTATATTGAAAATTAAAAATGTACATTTTTAAATGTACAACATTAACCCACTATATTGAAAATTAAAAATGTACAACATTAACATGAAAATAAAATGTGGAGAATGTCCAAAGTAGAGCAAAACTCTAATTCTCTGGACAATTCTATGCAAACTTTAACGCTTACCCATGCGGATCAGTCTCGTCTTTCCTTATATAATGCTTTGATTTTCTGTGACTTGAACTTGTTCCAACAACATTCTTACTTCATTAAGGACCGTTGTTGGTGGACAGGTTTTATTTTCTTTGCCGAATGGGACAATCTGCAGCATGTCTGTTTGATTTGGGGACATTTTCTCCTTTTAAGTGGAGAATTGCTGTGTAAGAAAGAAAACGTAGCGGTATGGTCATTTAACAAAAGAAATATATAAATATTTGCAGGCAAGTATTTTGTGTTTTTGTGCTCTTTAGGCATCACTTCGCCAAATGTTTAAAGACCTCAGCGCAAACAGAATATGGTGGTTGATGTCAGTGTTCCTGTCAGACATTAAAGTCACAGTATGCGGAATTGCAGTTAACGTCGTCGAAATCAAATCCTATAACTCCTCGGCCCTTACTTGGTCCAAACCCTTTTTTGCTGAACAGGTATTACGAGTAACTTTTAGAACTAGAAATAATACATTAAATATACTTCTTGACATGTTGTTTACAGTCAGTCTATTATGTGGCTTAAACATAAGCTGATCCCGCCCCTCCCCCATTATTCTCAATGCTGTACATCCAAGTCAGGGCCAGGTCCTTGGTTCTGACCAAGATGCGGGAGAGTTAATTAATAATGACCCCTTGTCTTTTTTGGTCTTTACTAAATCGCTGTAATCGCCAGAGCAACAATGACATGCTATTTAAAATACATTATATGAATTCAAAAGGTTTTAAAGAACAAACTGCATCTACGGGTTTTAGATCACAGCTACCTGCATCAGAGTATCATGAAGCCTTAAAGCCAAACCATCCTGGAGCTTGGCTTACCTTTGCGGCGATGCTTCGTAAGTAGTGTGTTTATCACATAGCAGGAAGTAGGTCAGGTTTAGTCTTTGTTATGACCTTGCGTTTTCAGAGAAAAATGATCGAACACAGGGAGATAAAGCAACTTTTGGGGATAAAAAAGTATATTGGTGTCGCTAAATGTTTTTTTTATTTCATGTGATCTGCAGATTAGGAGAAAGTATCAAACATTTCTGGATTCATCCTAAACCAAAAGCGCTGCATTTATCATTCCGGTTTGTTAACGCAGGGCAAACCCAAAAGAACCACACAGACCTGTCATCTCATTCATGAATCAGGGCCCAAGTTTATTCCAACTCTTTGAAAAGGATAAAAAACTATGTAGTAAAGAATTGTAAGAATTGTTATTTTTATTTTGTAGTTATTTTATTGTAAATGTGCTGCTCTTGTATTGTTGACTGAATATTAAAGTTAATTCAACACGTTTGTGTGTTATATTTATATATGAACATTACTTTAAAATCTACCATTCGACCATTTAGTAAGGTTACTAATGATAATTCCCTTAATTTAAATGAATAGATAAATATGTCAAAGCTAATTATAAAGGGGCTTGTGAGCTTTACCCAGGTACAAATCCATAACATCCGGTAACTTTTTTTTTAAATGACATAATTCATGCAATTTATTATATTTATTATGACATAATTCATGCAATTTATTATATGCTGTATTTTAGTATGGGAAAGGTTTGTATTTTACATGTTTACGTGTTGAAACGATATTTAAGTTTGAATGTAATACTATATGTGTATGTAGTACATTATTATTATTGTTATTAAGAAACTTCTCATATGTTCCCTATTTGTTTCGCTCTATTTTTATTTATTTGTACACAGAGATCTACAAATCCTTTCACGTGATTTTTTTCTCCCTGGTTTGCGCATGCGTAGCAAGAGCTTTTAAATTATACCGGAAATGTGCGCTGTAGTTTTTCAAACAACACAACTTTTTACGTTTAAACTGCGCGTTGAAGCAGTTTTATGTGATATATAGCCATTATATGGTCACTAGTGCGCTAGCATTTTTCTCGATAAACTTTTTTTGGCAGCAAGTTAACCTGCTAGCGTGTGTTTAGTGCTGCGGTCCAGCGTTTTCATCTCTGTGGACACAATGCACAGTGGATGGGTCGTCCGGAAAAGACAAATGTTTGAAAAACCGAAGGATAAGAATTAATCTATAAAGATGATTTTCTGATATAGCACGTAATTTGGTTTGTTCAAGTGTACAGTCTGCTTTTCGTTCTGGTTAAATGTCAGTTCTTCTGAGTTGACTGTACTGATACCACAACATTGTTGTGTAGAGTAATCCTCTGCTGGTTTTGACTTGCAGTTGTGTTACAAACAGCATTTGTGTGACAACGAGTGGAAATGTGATTGGAATTACTGGTAGGACTGAGACGAAGAAGGACAAGACCATCTCATCAGAGAGGAATGACTCGGAGAAGAAGGACGAAGCCGTCCAATCAGAAGAGGACAACGGTTGCGTGCACAACTCACTTATATTCAAAAACGTGAGTCGGGGAAAGATAGTTGGTCAGACTTCATGAACTGACATCCTATGCTGTTTGTCAGGGACACGTAGAGCTGACCCAGAGCTCTGGAACTGCCTATTTTGATGATTCTGTGATTTTTCTTCTTTGTTCAGGTTGAGATTCTCCTGTTTGTCAGAGATCAGCTGTTCTTCTCTGGTCTCAGCTCTGAAGTCCAACCCCTCCCACCTGAGGAAACTGACGTTGGGGGCAACGGGCTGCAGGATTCCGGGATCAAGGATCTGTGTGGTTTTCTCCAGAGTCCAGACTGTAAACTGGACACTCTGGTCTAGTCTTGTGGAGGATCTGAGGTCAGTGTAGAACACTGGAGTCAAAATGGTGAAACTGAATCTGTTTTTTAATTATTTCTAAACTTCCTCGTCTCTCCATTTGGTGGCGTGTGAACAGTTTCAGGCGAGAGTGGACTTTACAAACCTAAATGTCTATGAACTGTTCTTTATTTTAACTGAGGTGAATGTGTTGCCTTTTCTTCCCCTACTCCAACGGTAGAGGGCGCTGCTACTCTACGTTTGCAGCCGTCTGTGTTGAACGTGACATTAACTGCTCTCATCTCTGTTCATTTCTCTTCTCTCCACAGATGGAAATAATAAAGATTTAACAATAAATGACTTTAAACACCACTATTTTCTTCGACCAAACCTTTGGTGTTTTTACAGCAGTGCTCTGTTATTCCAGACTAAAAAAGTGGAACAAAAATTAGGACTCTCTCAAGAGTTTGCTAATTGGCTGAACTAAATAATCAGAGCGGAGTCTAGATGAGGTACCAGGTGATGTACAGTACGAACCACGGTATATTGCAAAAAAATGCAAAACAACCTGATTAGGTGCTGCAAGTCCAAAGATGTGATGAACTAGAAATTCAGGTTCACCTGAAGAGCTAGCACAAGCGCTACAAGAGCAGCATTAGCGTTACATTAGCTTACATATTCATTTAGTTTCTTCTATCTTCTAAGTTGCTGCATAGTGCACTGCGGCAAAAACATTTCTGCCATAAAAGGTCAACACAAAGCGTACTCAATAATAATGAGGTATGGTTCTCGATACCTTCTCTTGTTTTCAACAAAGTTGGTGGTATTGAGTTTCTATTAGTATGTGATTTTGAAATTTCCAAACTGCCCATAAAACTTTCCAAATTTCACCAACAGTTTCTGTTAAATTGGACAATGATGTTTAAGCATAATTTCAGCCCCCATAATGTCCCATTGTGGAACAACAGGGTGACATTTGAGTCTGGGGAGGTCTGTGTTTATGGAAGACTG